TCAGGTCATTTGACACTTCCTCGTTTGATGGAATCTCATAGCACGACTTCGCAAACCAAGCGCCTTTGTCCTCACACCACTAAGTGCCGGCTTTTCCGGATTTTTCAACTTGCTATGTGACAATTGTCCTTCTAAAGCACGCGTTTTCAGTCTTTCCGTTTTGTATGCCCACTACTAGTTTATCTCGAGTTGTGTTCATGACCGTTAATGCTTTGTGCACCTAAAGTCATACACAGTACGTGCTTTGTTACTTGTATGTCTCGGTTTAACTAATACGATTCTGGGATTCTTTTTTGTTTTCATACACCCCTTTCCACATCTTTGTCTGTGCTCTCCGTTAATCAGAACGATCCGGTCATTCGAAGGCGCGTTCACCCAGATTATTGACGGCTACGCGGCTGAGGTGGACACGAAAGCTCTGAGCGGGGGTGCGGAAATTAGTCGCATTTTCCACGAGCGATTTCCTTATGACATGCTCAAGGTACGGTTATTTACTTCTTTCCTATTTAGCTTTTGCTTCTTCTGTTTCAAAGTGTAGAATGTTATTGAAGGGCTGGGTTGGTCCAGCTACCAACCTCACCCTACCCGAGGAAGTGATAAAGAAAGTAGACACATTATGTTACTTGGGCAGGTACATCTTACCTGGAAGATCATCATGTCTAAAGTATCGGCACGCACACAGAAGGTATGACACATCTGGTGCCTCAGTGACATTCTGTTTTCCACTAAGGATCGAGTGTATGCTACAACAGTTCGATCGATACTGCTGCATAGTGCAGGGACTTAGCGGTTACAGGAACAGGATAAGGGCAGACTATCGATGGTCGATAACTGCTGTTTGGTGGGGCAGGTGGATGAGCACTGATGAAGTTAGACTCAGAGTTCTAGGTAATCACCTTCGCTCACTGGGGCAAGTGCTTGACCTCCATAGACCACGTTGGTTGGGCCATGTGTTACACATGTCGCCAAATCGATTGTCATGGCGGGCAACGTTTGCCGAGGCAAGTAATAGGTGTAAAATAACGAGGGTTTGTGTAAATTTATGACAACCCTGACTCGGGGAAATACAGTACTCGGGAACTCGGTCATGTAGCTCTCGTTAAGATTCTTTGTGCGAAACCTCGGGATCAGTGTGATCGATCAGTCGAGACATAGTGATATATCTGAGTGCCGAGATTATGTGGGTCTCATTTTCATCCTTCGCCAAATTTTAGAACGCAGACACTCATTTCATAGACCCATTATTTCCATTTTTGCACCCTCAAAGTGTAAAATGTTGCTACAAGATTGAGTTGATCCAGCCCCCAACCTCACCCTAACTGGGGAAGTAGTAGAGAAAATAAAAAGATTTGCTACCTGGGCAGCTATATCTCACTCAGTGGACGCATCACGCGTGAAAGTGTTTCCAGGATGGGAACCCTAAGATCATGGTGACCGTTCGTTATAGACACTGAGTGATATGGCCGAGAATCGCAAACAGTAGCGCTTGTGCATTTACCCATTATCCTCGCGACCCCAATCCATATGAATTCTCTATATTTTCTTTGACTCTGCTCCCAGCAGTCCAATCTTCTGCTCTTTTATCCAAGTAGGCTGCCCAAAGGCAGCTACCAAACGGGAGCAGGAAAGTGCATGGTTAATAGCTGTAATAACTGCAACTGGGTGTCGTAACCAGTGGCATGGTCGTGTATCTTCTCAATCTGTCTGTAGCCTTAGTTTCTCTGAATTCTCTGTCTTCCGCTTACTACTGTTTCCAGCATTTGATTCTTCCGTCTTTTTTGGTTGTAAGCAGTTTTGCTGTCGTGCGATTCAATACCACGCCTGACCCATCGGAACCTTATCTTTGTATTGTTCACTGTGTGAACATTAATTGGAAGGAACCTTTGGTTTCATCTACCACATAGTCTTGTCTAATGGAATTTGTCCTGCATTTACTCTAGACATGCTATAGTGCAACCTGCTGCAAGCACTTGCAGCCCGTATAGTAAATACTATGGTTTGTTCAGTTTACGGCCAAAATTGTAGTTCCTCTAAATTGAATGTCGACAAACATGCAACAAAATGGCATGTGCACCGTTATCCGGAATGCATTTTGCACTTGAAAATTCTCTGTCGCTTTACGCTCGATTTCAAAAACTCAAATGAACAGGAATCGAGACTGACCACCTGCAACAAGCGCGCAAAGATGTGTTGTGGTATAATATATATATATATATATGTATATATATATATATATATGTATATATATATATATATATATATATATATATG